CAGGAATAACTGCGATGGGTCCAGCTCTCGGCAGCCGGGTTTCAGCCGCTGCGCTGTCTGCCAGCCCGTGCAGGGATGTGCGGACCGGGAAATGCTCCTGCGCTGGGCAGTGGGCACAGCCGAGGGCAGCGCCCAGGAGCTGCCGTGGGGACACGGCAGGACACCAGCCCTGCCTGCCAGAAACACTCATTTTATGCACTTTTACAGCCTTACCGCTTTTGCAAACCATAAGCACATACACATGGAGCCCATGGTGCAGGCCAAACCTCAGCGGGTTTACTATTTCCCTTTACAGAAATAATCATATGTCAACTCTAAGACAATCAGCAGAAAAAGACATTTTTTCTCATTTACTCTGCCTCTGAGATGATCCTGGCTTGTTGCATTTTTCTCCCTTTGAAAAGGAATGTTGCCTCTTCACACTTAGCTGAGGGCTGCAATGAGATTTCTATGGAACCTGGGTGCCGCTAATGTGACTCTTCCTACTTCCTGATGCAGAGTAAGGCAAAGATAGCCAAGTAACTTTGTGCTTTTAGGTTTTGATGAAGTCTAATGGGAAGCAGAGAGGCTGTTCTCTGCCCCAGGTGACAAAAAGCTGCTGGTTAGAGGTCTTATCCTGGGTCTGCCTGGTGCCTCAGCTCCCAGGGCCAGCACGAGCAGTCCTGCTCCCATACTGCTGCCCCAAAGAGCATCAGCAAAACCCCAGGGGAAGCAGAACAAATTAAGATCCCAGTCCTCATATTTTCACAGGGCCAAGTCTACCTGTTATCAGCACTGTGTGTAGCAATTATGGATGAGTCACTTTAATTAACTTTGCCCTATTCCTTTTTACTGTAACATCACATAATGTTCTTGACTTGGGTCAAAAGCATTAACCATCAGTACCACAAGCACTACAAGGTATTTGTTTAGATCCTCTCACCCATTCTTTCTAATGAAATGAACCTGCTAGCTAATATGTATAACAACTACACACATCTCCAGCAGCAGCTGCTTCACACCCCCTCTGGGCCGTGGTTTCAATGTTTGGCTCTCACTGGAAAGGATTCTTTTCTCTGATTGCAAATTTCCCTGCTACAACTTTTAGATTCCACTTACATATCACTGACAAAATCAGCACTTTAACAGTGGTTTGTTTCTTCAAGTCAGGGCAGCCACCAGAAAAAATTAAGTACACAAATAATGCAAACTTAGTAACTTAATGGTGAAAAATGAGTTTATTTTAGAAGTAAAAAATAACAAGAAGGCTACAAAAAAAAAGACATATTCTAGCTAGGATATATTTTCTAGGATTTTATTCTTATATAAAAATATCTCCAAAAGACTTTAATAAGTCTATGATCCATCCTGAATCACACTATACATATTTAGCTTTTCACTGATTAATAATTTGAAAGTGCAGCTAAGGTCCAGAGCAAATCTTCTCAAGATGACCACGTTGTAGCTGGGAAATGAGCTGGAGGGTGCCTGGCTTTGGCCCGTGAGGCGAGCCTTCGTCTGAGCTGCCGGACTTCTGCCATCAGCTCCCACTCCTGGCGCGCCAGTTCTGCTCGTCTTCTGTCTAAAGACAATGAAGTGCAAGAAACTTAACATTGCAACTAGTGGTTTTCCATAAACATTACAAATACCTGTTGGAAAACAAGAGATCTCTGGCAGAGAAATGCTGGTTTTCAGTACCACTGGATGTGGAGGCAGCCCTCAGACTGCTAAGAGCAAGTTCTTTGAAGCGGTGCCTCTGCTGGCTACCAGGTCAGGTGCAATGGGGGCTACAGCAGGTCCGGAGGTACCCACTGCCTGCAGACTTTTGTATTATATATAGATATAATATATATATATATATATAAGGTGCGTTGGAATTTAAACTGTGCTTTCACTGCCAGAGCAGCTAGGACCGACCAGAGGAAATTAGACTAAGCATGGGTAAGATGATCAGGTCAGAATGCAACTAAACTAGGCTGAGGTTTACTAGGACCACTGTCATAACCTGACACACTTCAGGCACTTTTTACCTGTGCCATCCCTGGGAGCAAAGACATTTTCTGCAGGTGTGAAAGAGAACACAACAATAAACTGGTTTACTATCCACTAAACACCTACACAACTAATGACTCAATCACACAGCTGGGTGTTCCAGCAATGCTCTGAATGTGAATGTGAAAGAGACTCCTAACGTAAAAACTTACTGTGTGGTGATGATGCTAATGTAGACAAATCATTGAGACAGATGTTTTCAGGCCTTGGCACCTGGTGGACTTCTACCCCTCTTTCAGGACACCTGGCCTTTAAATTGTGCAGTCCCTCTGTGGGAAATGGAAAAAAGGGTTATTTGTAAATTAAAAATATTGAAGTTTCTAGTGAATTTTTCTAGCTGGAGGTAAAACAGTTTTTCTCCAGGAAGCAAAGCTAGAACAATCACCCACTCCAGTTAATGGCAAGTACAATTTGCTCAGAATTAGAGGTCAGTGTTTCTACTCTTTGGGTCAAAGCAATGCACCACAGCATTTCATTCTAAGGAATTACAGCTCTGTAATTTCATTAATTTCTTAAAATTCCCTTTAAGAAATTACAGCTCTTTAAGAAATTACATGCGCTGTTTCTTCCTATGTAATTAATCTGACAAACAGGCCACTAAGATCATATGGAATATGGCTACTCATGCTTGTAGTTTTAGGAGCCACCCACTTTAATTATGCACAGTTGCAAAATACTGCATACTAAAACATTAGGTAAATAAAGACAAAGGCTGAAAAAGTTTGCCCAAAGCAATACTAATCACCTAATATTAATCACTAATTTTATGTGAGCCTTGGAAGCATGGTGGGGGGCGTAGGAGAAATACCTGCAAAAACTGGCCAATTCTGGAAGCACATAAATGTGTTGGGGTTGTTTGTTTTTAAACCATACACTTGGAAAACACTTTGTTTTTAAACAAACACTTGGAAAACCACTTCTTGGTATAATACTGTATGTCATCACAGGACAACATTATTTGACAGCAAATTTATAATGGATGCAATTTTACAATTGCTTCTAGATGAGCTAAACCTGTGCTCCCACCAAAAATGCCATTTATATTGCTGCAGTTGATAGGTATCAAACCGAGATTTCTTTCCAAGTCTAGCCTTGGAAAACAGATATATCTGTTTTATGCAAGAATATTGCCAAAAAGCACTTATGGAATGCTTACTAAAGGAGTTATGTTGAAGTTTATCCCCAGTATTGGACGGTTCATTTGTATTCAGTCATTGAATGCTTCATGCCAACATCCACACAGAACTGTGTTTTCTACATGCTCACCAAAATGGCCATCCTCCCTTTGCAGCTTCTCAGCCAATTCTAACTCATCATTCCTTTTGTCATCTAAGAACTGCTTCCTGTGCCCATCTACAGCAGCAGCCACCTTCTGCTCTTCCTCCAGCTGAGCTTTATTCTGTACAACATCTTCCTGCTGTGCAACAGAGATATTAAATGTCTTCAACAGATGTGTTGCAAGGAAAAAGCAATAAATAGAACCATCTGGATTATTACAGATTACACTTCACCCTAAAATCAAAATATGGTAGTCAGCTGTATGAAGGTTTCATTTTGAAAAATGTCTGATTACACTTCACCCTAAAATCAAAATATGGTAGTCAGCTGTATGAAGGTTTCATTTTGAAAAATGTCTCATTCAACCATCTGGAGAAAGGTAAAAGTCTTGGGTCAGAGAATAAAAATGAGACGAACTTACAGAAATAGGAATATGCTTTCCTAAGGCTAAAACATCCTTACTAATTCACTCTTGTGCTTCCAGCTTCCAGATATTTCCAGTCAAAACAGAAAAGGAGAGTTCTAACAAAATATTTCTCTAATACATCTCAGCTTTCTGCATTCCCTGTTACAGGTGGTTACAGTTTTGCCAGGCATACTTTGAAAAAGAAATTATGGAAATACCTTTTTTTCTTCTGTCTCCCTCATTGCCTTCAGCAGTTCAGCTTCTTTCACCCTGTTGTCATGCAGGAGCTCGACAATCTCCCTGTAGCGCTTCTCCTGCTCCTGGTCATCACGCCTGAGTCTCTGCTGCCGTTGCAGCCTCCAGTCGCTGTCAGTGCGCTTCTGCTCAGCTTTGGCTAAATTTTCTTCAGCCACCTAAGAAAACACCTTTCTTACCAGAAATTCAGTCTATCCCAACTGCACAGCCTTACCTACAGACCAGGCAAGACTAACTGAGGTGTTCTCCAGTATCCCTGTCAGATGTCCCTGATAGAGGCATTCACTGATGGGTGCAGCTGACATAAGAATGATACCTGAATGCCAATACTTTCACCCACATCCATCTGCTTCCAAAAATCAAATGCTGTTTACAAAAATTCAGACCCATATGTTTATTTCTAGACAATACACAAATGCAGATGACAAGCATATGGGCAGTGGGATAGCTGCAACTATTTTTCCAACTGTGCAGTTACAAGTTCTGAGCTTGAAAATCTGAGCAATTCCTAATGTCAAGCTACACACATTCATTACCGTGATTTAGAAGACAGCTTCTACAGCTGAATTTCCTGCCAAGTACTACCAACTGAAACCTCCTTTGAGGCTGTCTTTTATTTTGTTATGGTTATAAACAAAACATGTTCCTTATCAGGAGGATGACTTGTTTTGAAAAGTACTTTTGAGTCTTATGTACATTCTAAGTTTTGAGAAGTAAAAAAATAAAAGCTAATATTTCTGGTAGGTCCAGAGAATTTCAATGTTATACAGCTGTTTGGACACCTCAGTCAGATTTTTGGAAATCTCAAAACTTTAAACATAGAATCTTAATCTATTAATATAGGTATCTAGAAATGAGATTTTTTAGAAAATATTTCCATATTAACTTGAACTAGTTAATTACAGTCAAAATACTATTAACTAGTGCTAATTGTATAAGTTAGCATATTGACTCCCTAGAACACATGTTAAGATCCAATCATCCTACTGTATGAGCTTTCTGTATTTCTTCTTTATCTATTTCTATCAATCTCTGAACACCTTTCAGATCCACCTTTCTTCGATGGGCTTCCATCTCATCTTTCATTTCCTTTGTAACTGCCTCTTGGTCTTTGATTAGATGCTGCCAAGCACACAAACAAAAAATATTGTTGCTAAGCTACTAGCTCACATTGGTAATTCCATCTCTTTAACATTTATTAAAATTTCATTAAACTAGTATTTGAATATATCCACACATCTCATCCCACTACATATCATAACTGTCCAAAAAAGCCATAGACCCTGCTGTTTTATCCACTCAGAATCAGATGAAGCATGAATCATAACAGTGGCCTGAGTAATGACAAGGGATGTAATTCCATTCTCCAGATTACAGTGGAGAATAAAAGCAGATTTCCAACCTAAAATAACCAGATTCATCATGAAAATATTCTGAAATTTATGGCAAATTTTAGCCAAAACCCCAAAATATTTCATAACTATAAAGTGTGTTTCATGGCCCTGGGATTTGCAATAAACTCATCTGCAGCTTGAATGCAGAGATGATTTGCCAAAGTAGTACAACCCAGTAGCAGACCTAGAAACAGCATTTTAGCGTACCACCTTTTCTTCACATTCACCAGGGCACATCCACACTATTTTCTGCAAATGTTATAACCCCTTCCCAGGCTTGTAGGAATCTACTGAGCAACTGAGGCAAAGTCAACATCCTTTGAAGCTGGAGCAGGGACCCTCGCTGACGGCAGTGAAACAGTGCAGGGAAAGCCTGTCTGCACAGACTTTGTGGGCAAACAGAGATCCTCAGCTAGTTAAATAATTGCTACCTTTCCAGCCTAGAGAGGATGATCACTGTAGAATTAGTTCCTTAGAGAGCTGACTTTACACGTACTGGAATAAAAATGAGCTTAGCCTGATTTGTGTTATGCAGCCACAATACAGCTGGCTGTATATTGAATAAATAAATGCTAACAGAAATTTAGCCCAGTCATGCTCAGTATGGATTATAAAAAGTTCATGATCAAAAGCTTTAAAAAACCCAAATACAAGCTGACACATTTCAAAATGAGGGTCAGAGCTGGATGTCTACTTTTCCTTTATTCCATTGGATCTACACATACCCAAGATGGGTACACGTAGCTTTGATTTCTAAACACTTAACTGAGTATTTTTAATCAAAATGAATATTTCCAAAGTCTCCCACTGGCATTCTTGCTTTGCAGTCATTTATAATAATTATTTATAATAATTAACTAAAATTTAAACTTTAAGCAGAATTACTGATTAAAGCTATTTATTACTGAATAGCCATATTTCGCATAAATCAGTCATTTCGGAAAGGAACTGCACATTCCTGATGAACCATCCACTTCTTTTTGCTTAACGATGTTGTTGGCAACTAGACATTTTTGCATCACCTACATCAATCTGCTATACTGCTCTCTCCAGAAAATGCAGATATGTCTGGATATCACAGATGAAAAGGTGGGAGTTTCCGGGTGAGGAACACATTTCATATACTTATTTCTTATTTACATATTCCCCACTTCCCTCAAGCAGCTAAGCCCACAACTAAACCCTGCAGGCCACTGTAGAACCTCTCAATCAATGGCAGAGTTAATTTGCAATCTGGACATACAGCCCACAGACAGCTGAGAATTCACTAGTCCTTTAAGGAGCTCATTACATTTTTCAACACTGCCACTAACTGTTAAATTATGCATTTAAAGTTGAAACAGTCCACCTCATGCTAAATACACCTCTGGGCTCACAAATCACAGTATATCAACTAAAATTTTAGTTATGCATTTTTTCTTCATTTATTTTCCCTATTAAACCTTGTAGAAAATAATTGCTTGAGCAATACTAAACCTTTCTTGCAATTTCATCATCAAGACGTTTTAGTTCCATTTGAAGCTGATCTTGCTGGTAGTTCAGAAAACACCTTCTTGAAGCATCTAAAAGCTGCAGTTCCTTTGCTTTCAGTTCTCTTTTCACAACAGCAAGCCTTCAAGGCCAAAATAAACAGAAATAAACAAATAACAGAAATAATACTGTATATGTAAAAGGTCAGTACCAAAGAGCACAAACACGCAATGCAGTTAGCCATTAATTACTGTGAGCTCATCTCCAGCTTAACAAACCTTAGGACAGCTGCTTTCATTCCTGTAAAATGTCCAATTTTCATTTATGAGACAAAATTAAATTCACAGACACACATCTTCTAATGGCAATATCTCCAGTTAAGCTTTGAAGTCCTGTGCCGTTTCTGTTCCACTTTAATAAGTACTAGTTTAATGTTGCAAGGATTCAAAACTGGAAACTACTCCTTAGAATAACTGCCAGTGTCCTGGTACCTCTTGCTGCACAAAATTAGTCCCAAGTTTATTTGGTAAATATCAAACTCTTTCAAGAAATAAAACCACAAACTCAAGGATTAGCTTGTAAATAAAGGCTTACTGTCATCTTTAAAAAAAACCACCTAACTCTGCAGGTTACAGAAGTTTAGGAGATGTGATAAAAACGTGGTGGTTAGGAACACGGTTTAGTGGTGAACTTGGCAGTGCTGGATTAACCATTAGACTTGATGATCTTAAAGGTAATTTCCAACTTAAATGATTCCATGATCACCTGTAGTTCATCTAAGGAATTAGGGAGATGTTGAAATTCTCTTAAACCTTCACAACTGCAAAATGTACAAACTCACAGTTCAGCTTCATTCTTATCACAGCTCTTTGCTTATAAACCGATATACAAAGCAGTGGTTTTTCTCAATCCACTAGAAATCCAAGACTGTGTACAGTCACTGATCCTGTGACTCTTGTATCTGCAGTGTGGGTCTGCCCACAATGCAAGTCCAAAGTCTCTGTGTGCAGACACACAGCAACTGACTGTTTAAGAGACTTCCAAATCCAAAGTAACCAGAAAAATGTCTGGGAGCTGAGACAAGAATATGAAGTGACTTGACCTCTAATCTGCTGTATTCCCTCCAGGGAGTAATAGGCAAGGTAGTAACACAACCCAGATCACTTAATTCCCACACCAAAATATGACCCACCAGACCACAGTTATCCCACATTACAATTTATACCAATTAGAGGTTTTTTCTCCTTTACTCATGGTTAAAAATGTAATAGCAGGCTACAGTAGCCAGACCCCTAATGTTTCCTACGTTCTAATACCTCTGGCTCTGTTCTGCCAACTTCTCTTCTTCCAATAGGATTTTTCGCCTCTGTTCTTCAGCTTCTCGAAGTAATTTCTGCTTTCGATAACAGGCTTCATCTTCTGCTTTCTGTTCCTGTGCTTTGGCTTCTGATTCATGTGCTAATTGTCTGCATGGAAGGAAGTTACATGTTAATTATTCAAACCAAATATCAAGAAATTACTTGATTACTTTGAAACTGATGACAGTACTAGCAAAGAACTGCTGAAATGAGATGACATGAAAGAATATGGTATCCCCTTCATAGTGTCAAAGTCCATGAGGAAGAGCTACCATACTGACTGTTAGAGACAACAGGGCAATACTGATGAGTACAGGTACTTTCTTGCTCACATTCTTAACAAAAACTGGTTTCTAAGGGTGCCTTGGCATCATGGTACCCACTGATTTCAATAGTAAGCTTAGAACTCCTGGCCCTTCAAAACTTGGACCCCACAAGGTCAACAGAGGTTTAGGCTCTGGCTATGAGCTTCCAAGTTTGTTGACTTGTGGCCCAATATCTTCTGCTAATTAGAAAACATTTTTTATTTAAGTTAAGACTAATAATTTAATGTAAAAACATGTGAAACAAGTAATTCTCAACCTTTAGCAGCTATTTCAAGTCCTTTTCCTGAATTTTTTTATCTCTCTTCTCAAGACTACACATTACAACATACAAAGGCAATTATGTCCACCTGTACTTCCCAGTCTGAGAGTGTCTTCAGTTTCTCACTAATACCTCTCTCGCAGGTATTCAATTTCATCCTGTCTGATCTTCTCCCATTTCTGAGCTTGATCATTCACAATGAACACGGGATATTTATTAAACACAGGGTACTGTCCTTTCGTAAGTGGTGTGAAGTCATCAAGCATATGCTGTGGATGGATATCCAGTGGTGTAGCTTCCATAAGATGATAGGCTTCCTTAACCACAACATTAATGTCCACGTTGTTACGATGATGAAAGAAATACTGTAAGAGACAGGCTGCCATTTACATTCTACACAAGATTATGCACTTTAATGTATTTTTACATAAATACGTATTTATTTTTAATGCACATATCTGGGAATTATAATGAAAAATATCAAGATATCTATTTCAACAGTTAATTTAAAAAGTTTTTAAAGTTTTCCCTACCAATTCATAAAACATCACCAGCTCAAGTGACTTGAGCCAAACTTCTTCAAGGTGGGAAAGGATGCTGTGGTTCTTTTCCTTCTCTTCAAATGGCAGCTGTATAAGGGATTTGGGAAGCTGGGTGTCAGTGTAGAGTGTCCAACAGTGACTCCTACCACTGGATAAACCTGCCCTGACTTACAGTGTTCAGCCATGAAGCTCAGAAGTTTCTCCTCTTGCAGGGTTATTCATCCTGTCAAAGATTTTATCTACCAAGAAAATCTCTAAATAGTCATTATTAAACATAGCAATAATGTTATTGGCTTAATGTCAGTCAAATTGACTGCTCATAAGAACATTTTAGAGGTGGAACCCTTTGTTTGCCTACAGAGATATTGTCATAAGAAACCTCTTCCCATGGAACATTAAACATAAAGAAACATTTTAATTTAGCTTCAGAGAACATCCAATAATACTGCCTAATTTTGAAAATCTGTCAAGACAATAATGAAACAACATCACAGAATTATTGTGTATTGTCTCCAGAAGCAGAAGTCCATATTAGATCCTCAAAAAAGAGACAGAATTATTTTGTGCTTGATGAACAATTGAAATTTTAAAAATGGTCTTTAGTGACATTAGAAAGCTTTTAAAGTTCTCCTTGCATGAAACTGCAGGAAGCTGCTCAATGTTTTCCTCATTTATTGTGTATTTGTCAAGTACCAGATACTAATTTGGAAATGGATCTCCTTGTAACCTGTCTAACAACGGATACAATGCTTCATACATCTTTTCCACATGATTGACTTAAATATGAAAATGTTTACCTCAAAATCTGCTGCTTGATTACAGTGGAGCAAGGGAGCTCTGGAACATATAACATAGGCAACGACAACCATTAGAAAGTATGAAGGATGGTTGGAGAAAATATTGTCAAAGGTTTTCAGCCATTCTTCTCTTGTTAGAACCTCAGATAATAGTGTTTCTAGGAGAGGCCAAGCATAAACCTAAATTATTTGGGAAAATTGACAAAATGATCCATTAGTACAATTTAACCATTCCTTTTAAAGAAACAATGTGATTTTTCTTGCCTTATACCAAGAAGCTATTCATTTATGAAAAAGGAAAGAAACAGAACATTTCAAGGTAAGTTTCATCACTTACTGTAAACATACAAAGTTAATCTGGGGTGATTACAAATACATTTCTTATTTCACTGGATGTCTAAATGTTCTGTTTAGGTTTGTGAAGCTAAAATAATCCCTAATGATAAACAGGGATTAGAAAATTAATTCATCACACTTGTGTCCACATTAGAAAAGGTACATTTATAATTTGATGAGTAGATTTTTAAGCAATGTGGACTTGAAAGCAAAGAACTTCTAAAGAAATAAAGCAGCATATATATGATCATGGACAAGGAAAAACAACAGGAAATCAATTATATATTCTTTACACTCTCATATAATTCACTGAATAGAAATATATCAAAATAAAAGACCAGCACACTACTATTCATTGCAGTATATTTTTGTATACAAAAGTGGTCTAGACTATTACCTGTGAAGTCACATTGTATTTTATTAAATGCTGAAGTAGTTCTTTGTCATGATGTGCCAAAACGTTTTCCACCATACCAAGGACATTAAATGGAGGATTGGGAAAGTACTCAAACCAGTGTTGACAAAAATTAACTGAAAGAGAACAAGAAGTTGAACACAATCCATTGTAATCCAGAGCGAAACACTCATGACAACCTTGAAGTTGGTTATCAAGCAGATGCATTTAAGATGTTGTTTCAGGCAGCAAAACCTGTTTAAGATATTCCCATCCCTTCTCTTTCCAAGTATTCTTAAACCATTCCCTCCAGCTGCACTGGCATGGGTTTTTGTGTCAATACACTGTGAACGAGAATGAAGAACTGATCTGGCTCAAATACAAAGTGAAAAAAAAATCTGTGAGCTGTGGGACTAAGGCATGGGAAGCAGATGGGAATATTTAAATCAGTGTTTCTGTCTCACAAAACTATGGCCTGGATCATGTAATTTTTAACGTACTAAGAATAATTTATGTAAACTTGGATACTTATTCACCAACAGCATGTGGCTGCAAAGTGGGTATATATACTTGGCAGCACACATCTTCTGTAGACTTAGCAGCAGCTGCAACAACTAATTTAAGTGTAAAGCACTCTAAATTAGAGTGTTTCTTCAGAAGATAGCCACAGCCAGTGTTCAGACAAATGTCTGGTTTTGAGTTACCACATGCTCAAGACAACTAAACAGAGTTTAGTTGAGAGAGATCCTTCAAACCTTGAAAGAGATCATTCCCTGTTGACTGGGCACAGGTGACAGGTGGAGTGGGTGGCTGTGACTACTTTTCCCATGTCTCAGAGACTTAATTGTTATTATATAATTACGCTAGATACATATGAGTTTGCAAATGCTAGATACATTTCAATTAGACTTTACAAATGCTGTTAAAACTGCTAACCTTTTGCTAGCAACACTGCAAAAGGAAGTTTCATATTTTGAGGTTTTGGTTTTAAGCTCCATATTAATTCCTGGTAATACCCTGGTGACCTATTAACAAGGAAATACTTTATTCATTTCAAGAGGAAAACCTCTTTTGCTTAAAAAGAGGAAAGCTTAAACATGTTGAAGCATATTTGAGTTTTTAAAATCATTGCTTACCTACTACTGTAGCAACAACTTCAAAACAGATCAGTTGGTTGTTCTGGAATAATTTTACAAATGGGAATGCTAGCAAAGGCATGTAAGGTGTCTCAGCAAAGATAGCAGACCAGTGAGCTAGAGCTGACAATGTCCTGTACACAGAGGCAAACAAAAAAAACTGTGTAGAAAACATTGATCCAAAACCAAACAAAAATATAGCATCTATTTTATAATCAAAACACAGAAAGATTGTGAACTTCAAGACAGATGCAGGATTGTATGAGTTACCAAAACAAAACTGCATGAGGGCACTACTATGTCATTTTCGAATTTTTCTTCCAGCTGCTTCTAGCTACTGGATACATTTCAGATTACTATATGAAAATAAAAATCTGTAATATTTTAAATAAATACAAATATCTATTTTACCTCTGTAGAACTCTCAGCAGTTTCCCACTTTTGATAGGATACTCTTTCTGAATATTTACGAATGCACTGTGGATACCTCTATCTATCAGGCTACTGAATGCCAAGTGGTTTTCAGGAAGTTGTAATAAGGAACGCCAAACAAACATCCTGCAATTAAAATGCAGCCTTAGTCAAGGAAATTCTTTTTCACAGGCCAGCAAACACAAACAATTTTATTTTGTGCAAGCATGAACATGCACACAAAAAACACCTGTACTTAGCTGGATATTCTCCAAATTCTTTCAATAAGGCCTGCAGACGTTTCTTGTTTAATCCACCTGGCAATTCATTCTACAAAACAGGAGATCAACAATAAATGTAACCATTTTCTATTTCTTTGCACTCTAATTGATGAGAGTGGCTAAACATTGGAAGTTTATCACATAGTGTCAAAGAAAAAAATCCAGTGTGTATTGCTGTCTGCTACATAGCCCTAGGAACATCAACAACAAAAAGGTAATTCAATCATAATTTATTGTCTCCTGAACTCAAAGCACAGCTGCCATTGATTTCAGTCAGAAGCAGATCAGACCCAAACTGACTGAACTATGTACAATTAAATGATGGATATAGCAAACCATAAAGAATACTAACATAATAAATAGATCATATGGTGATACATAAACAGGAATATATATATATATATATATGTAAACATAAAAGGCACAAGAAAAAGAGAGAGAAAATGGCACCATGATGACAGAGGGGAATAAATGTAACAGTAATTAATCTTCTAAATAATTAAAAAAAAAGGAAATGGATCCTAGGCAGACATTTTAGAGGTGCCAGTTGGCTTTCTGCGGGGAAGCAGATCAGATCTAGCAAATACCAAATGTGTCACAAGTTGCTTGAACAACTGCAGAGGTACCCCAGACTGGAGGCAGCTCTGGCTGTATCACATACTGTAGGAGTACGGGCTAAATAGAGAGAAAAAATGGTACTAAAATTTCCTAAATCCCTGCTCTGCTCAAATATCCAAGTGCTTCAGTGCCTGAATTTATTTTTTAAAGCAAATGGCAATGAAATATAAATACTGCAGACTGAATGACAAAATATTTGCAATTTCTTCCTACCTCTTTATTTTCAAGTGATGTATTTGCTTGCAGTTTTAGTAATCTGCTTTGAATTTTGCTTTGTTTGGATTTCCATGGCTCCTTTGACCTTCCTGAAGTCACTTTTGTGATCAGTTTATTTGCCTCTGAGGTGTACTTGGGTCCATCTTCTACAACTTTGAACATGAATGGTGGAGGCTAGTATTAAGTGCAAATACTTTGGTTAAAATCTTGTAAGACGGATTACAAATAATTTGTTGCTTACTCTATTTTATATATTTTTGAGCTTGATGGCCGTAAAAAGAAGACTAGAAGCATATTTATACTATAAATAAACAGATATAGAATGTATTCTCCTGGAAAAGGATGTCCATTAATAAAACTGCTCTAACTATGAGAAGGTTTATGTAGCTTCCAAGCTAACTCAAACATCATGTTATTTTCTTGCTTAGCAAACAGTAAAAATATAATTGGGATACTAGAGATGTGTATCATGTACTGTTCAGGTTATTTACTTTAGTGTGTTTCTCAATGTCATGAAAATATTTTGCATTTCTATAACACCAGTTAAAAGAATACAGAACACCTTTACAAACTTTAATTAGTCTTCAGTGTCAGGCAGGTACTAATTAATTCAATGCTGGAGATTGTGAAAGCAAGTGACAAAGTGGATATCCCAGTTTATGTCAAACTGTCAGCAAAAGTGCACATGGAATGTGTGTGACATCTTTACACATCCTTCCTCAGCTCCAGCTCCATCATTATCCAGAGCTGGTTACTGTTTACTTCAAAGACATGGTGATTAAAGATACATGGAATTCTGTATTTAGAAACCTGACTACTATTAATAAATTAATGTCATAAAATAAGAACTGGTATTTAGAATGCTTGTTATTTAGGAAGGATTAGAAGTGTATGATTGTGCCATAAGTGATGGGTGCTGGTATCCAATAACACAGTAAGAAGAACAAAATCACAGTAACAAAAACATCATTTGTGCCCACAGTTTAAGAGAGCATTAGTTGCAAAATATTTCCTGTAGGAAATGGAACAGAAGAGGCACAATTATTCTGTTTCCATTTCCTCCAAAACACCATTACAAATTGCTATAGAAAGAAATACCATCACCCCCTTCCAACACTAGTAACACGGTGATATATATACCTTGAAAACATCAAATTACCTGACGGGCTGGAGGAACTACGAAGGAAATTGTACAAATCACTTTTTCTTTATTTGCATTGTTAAATATGGCACCTCTGCAAACTACTGCTGATGCAAAACATATGCAGATAAATATCATCTTTAAGAGGTCTTACTGCTGTTTTAAGAAGTGTAAAATACCTTATTTCCTTCTTGAGTCAAAGCTTGGACACTGTATAAGTTAAGGCTTCCATTTTCCATTACTGAGGCAATATACCGTCCAGTCGGGCTAATCACTGCTGTACTAATTCCCTCTTCAGGACTCCCAATGTCAAAAAGAAGTTTGCATGTTTCTATATTGATAAATCTCATAATATTATCTTGACTCAACACTCCAAGGACCTACAGGTTAAAAGGATTCATCCATTAATACTGCCAATGTAAAACAAAGTGGAACATCCAATTTAGCAACAACATTCCAATAAGCTAAAGCAGCAAAGATTCAGCATAGTAATGTGCATTTCCTTTTGTGCTGTATACCCCTATACCTCCAGAGCCCTGCAAAAGCCCTCCAAGTATAGGTGTTGAATCCACTACCCAAATACTCCTGTCTTAAGCTTTATGAAAAAACTGACCTGATTGGAGCCCCCATCAAATTCATCAGGGAGGAATTCCAGGTGACGGACAGCTCGCACTTTCTCAGGCATCTGGATTATTCTTATCAACCGCTTTAATTCCAAACACCATACGTGAAGATGATTTGATTTCCCACCAGCTACCAAAGTGTGACCATCCCTGGATCACACGTAAAGCTTCCATCAGCATATTATAATTTAAATTAGTGTTAGCTAAGAAGAGAGATTGATCATTTTGTTCTATGCCCTCAAATCAGTTCTGAATTGGCCATTATTCCTGTGATACTCTCCTGAAAGAACAAAATAGCTCCTAAATAATAAAATTTCCTTCAGTAAAGGATAGTTTAAAACTTATTTTAGTAGTCACTAAAAATCAACCTAATTTATTTCGACTGCTATGGGACTATAATAAAAACTGCTACTGATCCTTGCTGAAAGTATCAGTCACAGCAGAATTCAAAAGCTTATCATAGTTTATAGCTCAATATTTCCACAAAATATTACAAAAAAAGAAAGAGAGTCTGTTTAAAACCATAATTTTTATAGTCTGCCTTTAGAATGTTTAAAATAGCAATTTACCTGGTAACAGCAAACACCTTATAAAATAATACAAAACCTTCTACAGGAGCTGACAACTGGTATTTACAGTGAAGAGTATCGAACTCCCATGCAAAAACAGAATTATCTTTGAAACAGCTGAGAATGGTGTTACTCAATGGAAGAAAAAAAACCTGGAAGAATATGGAAAAGAAAAAAAAATGGGATGTTGTCAAGGAAGTACATTTTAAATTACCAAAATGCATGGCAAAATAAATCATGGCAGATGTGGCTATTACTGTAAGTGTGCAAGGCTTGGATCCCACAGGGAGCTGACCCTTGCCCCCTGTGACAGCCTAGAGAAGAGTAGGTGTGTTCTCCTTGCACTGGTTAAAACGTGTTGTACACTTTGCTAAGTCAATTTAATTAACTGAAATAACTGTTAAATTTTATCTGTCTCGTTTTTATGACTGTTAAACTTTATTGTTTCCAATGAGTGCAGAGAGGATGCAATATAAACGCTGGGGACATCACTGGCTGAGATTAAGTCAGTGCTACAAAGTTTGTTGTTTTGGTCTGAATGATCTCTTGGGGCTTTGAAAATCTGGAAATATGGATATGTGGGCTGGGTTTCATCTTAGTGACTGAAAATTGGACATTCAGGCCAAATGAGTCACTTGACAGTGAGCAAAAGTAACCTGTGGGGAAAAGAGTCATCTCAGCTACCAGAGTAATTTATCTTCAGAGAGACTGAGCTGTCTGTCCTCCTTCAGGGACCCTGAGGAAGACTAGACAAAGAATTGAGAGCAGATGAATTTTGGTAAACTGGAGTACTGAATAGTTGCTAATTTTCTGCTTTGCCATAGAAAAATACCACAGGATGGTCACAAGCAGCCATTGAATAAACAGTGATGCTTTGGGAATGATCATTGTAGATATGTAATATTCTCATCTGTCTCACCTGCTGTCTCTTCACTCTGCACCTCAGTCTCTATCTTTTTAAATTAGCTTTGCCCCATACCAACCTAACAGAAGGTGTATGTTGGAGTGCAACTGGACTTAAGAGGCATCAAAAAGCACACAAGATGGATGTGACACTGCTACAGTGGTTCAGAGAACAAGCAAGAATCCAGCTTTGCACACTGAGTGTCAGGCCTGCGGTCTAATAATAAATCTGAACTTCAGTAAAGCACGTATTTACCTGTATGTCTTAGACTGTGGGATGAGAATAAATACCATTATTCTAAAGACAGGAAAATGAAATCTAGATTATTTGCGTAATGTCCTATAAGAAGTGGTAGCACCAAAGAGAGCAGGCTCCTGATTTCCAAATGTGATCTATTAATTCAATCATAATCTCTACTGTTTGGCTTTAAAGTTTTTTACATACTGCAACATCCTCATCCTACTAAATTCCAAGAGCCACTAACCAATAAGTCCCTACACATAGCAAGATACTAAGCACTAGAAAAATCTCCACTAGAGAAATGCATCCATCTTTGGAGGAAGTATGTTATAATTATTTTAGCAACATGTGCTACACAACAGTTTTAATAAAACAAACAAACAAAAATTCATGGATGATCTTTCACAGTAATTGCTAGGTGACTATTTTAAGCTGACAGAATTTCTGCCTGACCCAGAACTGGGTGAGGACACTCAAATGAATAGCCTTGCTCTCTGCAAAAGCAGCACGGCTTTTTAGTGGCCAGCCTGACGGGAAGCTTGGTTTGAAGTGGTGTTTGTCAGACTATTCACTGCAGGGCAGCACGTGTGCAAGCCATGCTCAGGCACTGGGTCAGGACTTTCTGTAGTACTTAGACCAAAGTGTGACATTTGGTGGCGCAGGCAGACCTGTTTAAAATAGTGTAATGCTAAGGGAGACCTACTTAAACCACTCCCTGGCACAAACATGTCATCCTTCTCATCCCATGCTGTCCCAGTGGGTCTGTGCAGCAAACAGAAGCAAAGACACCACTAGGCTGAGAAGCAATTATTTCTTTTTGCTGAGTTCCTTTTCAGCCTCATTTGTTCCCACATTCAGTGCTTTGCATGCACAGACAGAAGAGCTTTGGAATAAGAAGCTGAATGAGGCAGGTGGTGGTGACTGTTTGAAGTTACCATTATGACACCAAAACTGGTTTTTTAACAACACTCTTAGATCCCACTATCATTTAGGTTGGAATCAATCTACACAGGTCCTGAGCTCACCCTAGGCTAATGCAAGGTCAACCTAGAAGATGGCTCCAACTTCCAAGTTAAATTGGGTTAGTCAAGGTCATGTCCAAGCAAATTTTGAGTATCTCTAAAGATGGAGGCTCCTTAAAAGTTCCCAACAGACCTCTGCAACTACTGACTGATTATTTCAGTGATCTGGGTGATGTGATAGGATGAAAGTTCAGATGAGATGCCCAAAGATGACAAAAAAGATTTGTCTGTATTTTAAAGACTATTTACAAGTAAATTGATTTTAATAAGTGATCTTATACCTACTGTGGTGTGGTGTGCTTGTTCAGCCTTTAGCAATTGCTCTTTACTCACCTTTTGTATACCCACAGACTGACGAACATTCAGCTTTCTTATTCTTTGAAAGGTGTCCAAGTCCCACAGTTGAGCTGTATCAGTGGAAGTAGTGATGGCAAACTTGCCTGACTCATGGACAGAGATGGAAGACACAGAAGATTCATGGCCTCTCATCCAACTAACTAGCTCCTGCGTTTCTGTAGAAGTTGATGAAAATATATGAAAGTCATTCAACCACTGTCAACAACTACTACTTTATTCTTTATTGTCAACACTATGCTATGAAAGAGACTTTTAAGCATAACTAGTATATAATATAACCATTTGCCATCACAGCCCAACACACAAAAAACAAAGGTATCAGTCTTCACATAGGTTTTATACCTTAGAGAGGCACAACCTTCTCCTCATCGCCAAATAACATAAGTTATGCTCAGTTCTGCTCAGAAAGCCAACTTGTGCAGACTTGATTCATTTAGTGTAAAAATCAATCTTAGAAAGCCATGAACAATGTGATTAGTTAACTTCAGCATGCCTCATAGAATATCTGATGTGAACACCCACAGAAGCTGAGATTGAATGGTCTGGTTAGAATTCTGCACTTGTTTTTACTTGTGGACAGAACATGTGAATGATTACACAACTATTTACAGGTGCAAAGAATAAAGGTTTAATGACAATGGGCTATGACTACAGAAAGACAGAGTCAGAAAGCAACAGCTCATTAATTCTTTTAGAACCTTAAACATTTTTATGCTGTGCACTGCATTCTAAGGAAATGGTTCCTCTGACTGCAGTGTCTCCCACTTGTGACTGCATGACCACTAATCTTCCCTCAGCAGCCAAACTGCACTCATGGAAATTACACTGTTTACATTGGGTGGTTTGCCTGGCAGCCCATGGAGTGGTTCCAGCTACTGCTGTGGCATCAAAGATAGGAAATGGCTATAAAGCAGCTCATAAAGACTAGCAGTCAAACTTTCTGCTGTGCCTACAGACAATGGAGTGCTTAAAGCTATCATCACCTGAGAGGTGACAGGGGATTACAGAGTACGTATTCTGAAGAAGGGGATGGAGCCCATCAGGTAAGAACTGTCTAAATACCCTAAGGAACTGTACTGATTAAGGTGAGCACCATTCATATTTTAGCACATTCTTCAGTATGACTTGATAAATGAAAACAGCACCATATGAACATGCAGTACTCTCTGGCGTAATAAGGATTTCTCTAATTGCATCCAAATATCTAAGTTTGGTCTTGCTGTTGTTGAAAGGAAGAGAAAGAGTGCAGAGGATTTCACACCTTAACTCTGACTTTTCCTATATTTTGAGCAACATTGTGCTACATTAAAATCTTCACAGATAATCTCAAGCCCTAAAACTGTAGATGAGTGACTCCTACAGCTTTTTAAAAATGTTTAAATCCAGGTAATAATTTGATATAATGGAGACATTACAAATGCATTTTCTGATAGGTAAAGAATAATTTATGAAGAATGAATTGTCACTGCCCTTCACCATTTAACTTCTAATCAAGACAGAGACATGCAGCTGTAATTTCATTTTTAATATTGCTTTTCAACTGGTTTTGGCTTTATTTTAATACAGTACTTCATTCTAAGTAAACATATAAAAAACTGCTTTAAGAAAATTAACATACCTAACTACAATTCTGTGGTGTACTTCAGTCAAACAAATGCCTGTGTGACTCAGTGAGAATAAAGAACTTTGACAAAGCAAAGGGTTCATTCACCCAAAGACTATAACAAACATGGGCCCAAACTTTTCTTTTTAGACAGATGGCATGAAATACATAGTATAATTTCTATAAAACAAACTGTCCAAAAAATTAAGGTCAAAACTAAAATTATATACGTTTTCATGCCAATACAGATAGCATTTAAGCCTTGAAATTTCTCCTTACCTGTATCAAAGCACTTAATGGAATAATCTGCCAAAGCCACAAGGAACTCTGTCTTTCTGCGAAGATTAAAGGCCAAAGCAGTGCAAGCCTGCATTGTTCTCTGAACAAGGTTGAACCTATTTAAAAATACACATTCTCATCGTGTTAGGAAACTTTGGTTCATTTAATGTCAAGTGAAGTAATAAATTAATTGGTTTCAATATATTTCACAGAGAGAAAAAAATAAAAGCAAAAGAAGGAAGGAAATAATATCTAATTATAGTAGATCTAAAAATGAGTGCTAGGATTTTAAAACACTAATAAAATGCTGAAAGACTGGTTGATGCATTTCTGCATCAACCAGTAGACTAGGTCTAGTCTACTGTAACTCATTGACCTGTACTGGTCCAATAATAACTTCTGGTGGTAGTCCTTAAGTTCTAAGGCACCACTGCTCTTTTTACAGTTGCAAGCCTCTGATCTTTTTGAGCAGCTAAACTAATAAAATAACATATAGGGAGCCTACATGAGACAGTGGGTTGAGGTTTCGGCCCTGAGCAAACTATTACCTATTTAAAAATATTTAGTTAAAACCTGACCCATGGGAACCTGTTCAGGCAAGTTCCACACACCTGAATGGTACAGATGTCTCAGACAATTAAAAAGTCATAATAGAAATATTCTTACCTGTTCCCATTCAAGTCAAAAACATATATATTCCCTTGGCGGTCTCCAGCGAGGAGAGAATCCCCAGAACTGTCAAAAGCCACATTCAGAAAATGTATTGTCTTTGAATGGTACCCCTGGACACTGTGAATTATGTTCACTATAACTCTGTAAAGAAAAACAACCAGCAAAACAACCATGCTTAGAATAATTTTATTACCATTTATATCTGCAAGACATAGAAACATTTTAATCCTATCTTAGGATTTTACAATTCCGATTTTCCATGTTCTATGAAAGATCTCCCATGAAACCCATGTGTTTCTATATGAAAAGTATGCTACAAAGGAAGTAATTCACTGGGCTGGAAGGTGGGTAGGAGATATGTAAAGCAGATGGGGGAAATTCACCATTCACAATCCTTTCACGTGGTTTCTGATTGCCCAATTTCCATCATTAATGAATAACACTGATGTATCTGAAAGCCCAATTCAACCCTCAGGAAGGAACCTGGCTCATCATTACCACTGCAAAGAAACGTTCTAGAAAACTGAGAAGCTGTGCAGTACTGTAAGAAACCAGTCTGTTTAGATATGGGGAAAATCAGTTTTAATATCACTTCTTTTCACAGTCTTAGAAAGTATTTGGATTGTTTAGCCTGGAAAAGAGAAGGCTCTGAGGTGACCTAATTGTGGCCTTCCAGTACCTGAAAGGAGCCTACAAGAAAGGTGGAGACTTTTTACAAAGGCCTGGAATGGCATGACAAGGATGAATGGCTTCAAACTGCAAGAGAGTAGGTTTACATTTTACATTAGACATTAGGAAAAAATTGTTTACTGTGAGGGTGAGATAATCAGGCTCCCTAGAGAAGTTCTGGATACTCCATCCTTTGAAGTGCTCAAGGCCAGGCTGGATGGTGTTCTGAGCAGCCTGGTCCAGTGGAAGGTGTCCATGGCAGGGGGCTTGCAACTAGATGACCTTTGAGGCCCTTTCCACTCCAAACCATTCTACAATTCTATGAATAAAGCCTTTTTTATTACTATTCATCTGTGCTATTACAGAACAGAACTTTCTAGTTTTCCACTTCTATCCTTATAAGGTACTGTCCACACAAACAGAGCCAGATGCAGAAATGAGCTGTAAGAGGAAGGTTTTTCCAGGAAGCAGGACATCGAGATTTGGAAGATCTACTATTCCTGGATTTATTGCCTACCACTGAACAGCCCAATCATTTTGTATTATCACTTGGATGTGAATTCACAGTTAAACTAAACACCAAAAGTGTGCCAGATATTGGCAGGCTGATTAAAGACTGCAGAGCACTTGCAGAATGCTCTGACCATGGTTGCATGAGATGCTGATAGCTCTCTGAGGCACAGAATATGCTACTCAGAATGCTCTGACCATGGTTGCATGAGATGCTGATAGTTCTCTGAGACACATAACATATTATGTGTCTACCCAGCACCTTCACGGGGCTGTGGGGGAATGCTACATAGTCTGAGTGAACACTAGAAGGTCATACAACTATGGTGCAGACTAGAGATAAAACTAATTGTACCTCACTGTTAAGCCCATTGTTTTCTTCAACAAAAGGGCCATAAAAATGAAATCAGAAAGATAAAATATTTTAAAGTGTAATTGAAATCTAGTGATGTTTGTGTGGGATTATGACATTAAAGATCCTGACAAATTAGTATGACTTCTGCTTCTAAAACTACTCTGAAACACAAGTACTTATCCCTGCAGCTACAGCACCTCCCAAGACCTTCTCAACATCACTCTCTGCCTCTCAAAAGTTTCCCTGCACCTAAACTAAGCCAGGAGAACAGAGTTAGGAGTTCACGGGACCTCTGGGGACAGAGACCTCCAAAGCATCATTTGTGTCGCTGCTCTTCAGCTTAGACCAGGCAGTATTTACACAGCATACCACACTGCGATTAATCTCTTGGAATTCTCCATGGCATTTTATCCAATACGCCTAAACAACTAGGGTAAGTGTCCAGCCAAGCTGCGCAGCCTGAGCGCGGGGGTTTCACAGCCTCCTTGGGGACCTGCTCCGCCTTCAAGAGGGATCTCATTAATACATGGAAGTATCACAAAGGCGCTGCCAAGAGATCGGTGCCAGACTCTTTTCGGTGGTGCCCAGCGACAGGAGGAGGAGCAATGGCCTTAAACGAAAACACAAAAGTTTCACCTCAGCAGGAGGAAGAACTTCACGCTGAGGATGGCAGGGCACCAAAGAGGCTGCCCAGGGCGGCCGTGGAGTGTCCCTCTCTGGAGCCATTCCAAGCCCGCCTGGACGCGCTCCTATGGAAGCTGCTCTAGGTGACCCTGCCTTGGCAGATCTCCAGAGGCCCCGTCCAACCGCAGCGATTCCGCCACTCCAGGGGAACGTGCTCCTTTCGTTATGTAACCGGGTACCCCGGGTGCCCCTTCCCCCGCCCGCAGAGGCTCAGGTGGGCCCAGGCCGGCCCTGCCCGCCCGCCCGCTCCTCTCGGGCAGCCGCTCCCCCCGGCCCGGCCCCGTTACCCCCGCGCTGCGGCCGCCGCCGCCCGGCGGGTCCAGATGGGCCCGCGCCGCCGCTCGCCCACATCGCAGCGCTCCATCCCCGCCCGGCGCCGCCGCTCCCGCGCTGCCAGCAGGGCTCCGCCCACGCTCCGCGCCGGGGGGCGCCGCTCGCGTGGTACAGCCCGCTCCCGCTTCACCAATGGGGAGGAGCCGGAAGGGTGGCGAGTGCTCCCCCCACAGACATCAGGGAATGGAACCGCTCCACCTGCGGCCTCGCGGGCTGCTGGGAGTTGTAGTTTCCCTCGCGGGCGTCGCGCAGCGACCTGGGTGGGGACGGGAGAACGGAGCGCGGCCAGCGCCGGGCAATGCAGTAAAAACGCCGCGTCCTCGCAGGCAAGTGCGTTTATAACGCAGTGCAATAGGTCACTCAGAACATGGCTTTTCAGGCTGGCGCAGGACTTGTTCCCGGTTCCCTCCTGTTGCCCCCGCATTACAAGCGCCTTGCGGGGAAGGGAAGCCGGCTGACCCCACGGCCCGCCGCCCTCCAGCGCCGGCTCGCTCCCGCTCCGCCCCCGGGCGGGACCCCCGCTGCCGGGGCGGGGCCGGAAGCAGCGGCGGCGGCTCGGCCGAATTCGGTGGCGCCACGTCTGGCTCGGGGCCCCCTCCGTGAGCGGGCGGCAGGAGTGGCTGAGTCCTCGTCTCGCCTCTTCTTTTCTTCAGCGGCCGGTTCGTGGCGAAGCCTGGGCGGCGGCCGGGCGCGGCTGCGACATGTCGGACCTGGGGGACTGGTTCCGAAGCATCCCTCTGATCACGCGCTACTGGTTCGCCGGCTCCATCGCGGTGCCGCTCGTGGGCAAGCTGGGCCTCGTCAGCCCCGTCAACCTTTTCCTCTGGCCTGACGCCTTCATCCACCGCTTCCAGGTAAGGGCCGCACTACCGCTCCCGGCGTGCCCCGCGGCGCCCGCACAGTAGCTCACTATGACACACTTCGCGCGCAGCCTTCTGGGACTTGTAGTGTACAGCCGCACTGCGGGGCCTCGCTGGGGCTACGCGCGGGGCCGGCCGCTGCCCCGGTTCCGCGGCCGCGCTGGAGGCACCGTGCACCGAGACAGCGGCCGGGGGTGAGCAGAGCTCCGCTGGCGAGAGTGGAGCCGCCGTCCCGCTCAGCCTGTACGGGGCCTGCGGGCAGAACACCGAGCAAATCCGGGCCCAGGCCCAAGGGCCGCCACCGCGGGGACGGGCTGCGCGTCCCTGCCAGGCTGGCAGAAGGAGGGAGGCTGCCCTGGCAGCGCTGTTGTTCGTCTTGTGCCTCATTCTGGTGTGGTTTTTCCTGCAGTTCTTGTGGGAGTTGTTCTGGTGGGCACTGGCTGTTTTACCTAGGAGCTCTATGGCTGTGGCTGCAGGTGACTTGCCCAGCTCTGTGTCTTCGTGTGGCTGTGACTTTGGGAGCTGCAACTTCGGGCAAATCTCCCAGACTGCAGCTGGCCCAGGAGGTTTTTTGGCAGAGCTACAAGAGAGACATGGAGCTCCTGGGGTGGGTACAGTGCGGGGTAACAAAGGTGATCAAGGAACTGGAGCATCTCTGGTGAGGAATGGCTGAGGGAGCTGGGCCTGCTCAGCCGCGAGGAGAGAGGACTGAGAGGAGACCTCGGCAGTTTCTGTAAGTGTCAGAAGATGGACAAATGCAAATAGGCAAAATCTGATGCACGGGAAGTTGCACCTGACCTGGGTGGCCATGCACTGGAACAGACTGACCAGGGAGGCTGTGAAATCTCCCTTGCTGGAGTTATTCAAGAACTGTCTGAGTGCAATCCTGTGTCATGTGCTCAAGAATGTCTGCTTGAGCAGGGAGGTTGGCTCAGATCACTCACTGTGGTCCTTTTTAATGTGAGGTATTCTGTGATTCTGTAACAAAGTGCATTTACACATTCTGGTTTGGAATTTGAAAAAGCTTCTCTTAGGGTCTGACAACTTCTATGCTTAGATGTGGTCCATGTAAACTAATAACTGATGCCCTGAGGTGTCAGACATGCAGTGGTTTTCCTTGCACTGTGATATTACAGGTTTAGTGTTGGGGAGAGCACTCATTGGAGGAGCTCAAAACAAAAGAAGATAAAAGATTCCAATTTTTAGATTTCTGTTATCTCGTCTCATTATATCTTCACTGAAGAAAGAAAAAAAATTAAAGCCATGACTCTCTATGTATCTTGATTCATGTATTATTAGTAGCATAAATGACTGGTTTTTCCTCTAGTTCTGTTATTCCTTCTTGAACTGTGATGTTCAAGATCCTAATACCCAGTTTGGAAATGTTGCTGCTTTAAGAGCTCATTCATGAATGACCAGACATTTTCTGTCCTTGCTACGTGCTGCCATGCAGTTGGTTATGCCCAGTATTCATAGCTGGGAACTGTCCCAGAGAAGATCCCATATGCTCAGAGTAGCACGTGCTGTCTGGAATGGTACACTAAAGGCTGTGAATTCTTTGGCCTCTGTTCAGCAGAGAAGAATAGATTTTGTGTGGCTGTTTTTTTAACATGGTAGCATCCTTGCCAGTGAATCTTTTTTGCACTGCATTAAAGAGTCACTACTGCAAAGATGTGATGGAAAGCAGTTGTGTGATATTTCTGGTGTAGTCTTAATAGCTTTGCTTACCAAATTGAAAAAAAACACCACAACTAGAAAAGCTGCTGAAGCAGGACCAATCGATACTTGGGCTATTTTTAATCTTCTTCTTGATGTTTCAAGTTTTCATTCATTATCAAGTAATGAATGTAAATAAAAAGCCTGGGAACATGAGTTCTTTCTGCAGTTTGTAAATAAAGCTTTCTCTTTTGATCTTGACAGATCTGGCGGCCGATAACAGCAACCTTCTTCTTCCCAGTGGGACCTGGAACGGGATTTCTCTACTTGGTGAATTTGTATTTCTTGTATCAATATTCATCACGACTAGAAACAGGTATGTTGACCATTACATTGTATGCCCCTGGTGAAGTCTGCCTGGAGCTGATAAGAGATGGCTCATCTCTGTGCCAGCTTATATTAGTCAACGTGAAACTGCTCTGAAAACTGATTTTCTGTGGCTGGATCCTTCCCTTTGGCCATTTTGGATCTGAACTTGATACTTGTTTCAGTAGGAGGGCCTGGTGCTTTTAGTTGCTGGATTTAAGGAAGTGAGACAGATTAAAAGATGATGTTTACCTCTGTGGTTTTATAGCTGATGTTTTTTATCAGAGAAGGATAATAGAGCATAATGTAATAATGGGCTTATCCATTGGGAGAAAATAACTTTCAGTTTTTTCTTGTTTTAATAGGGATGCTTATTTGTGTTATTCTGTTGTCTGTGTTGAATTGAGAGATACCTCCCTCAGAGAAGGTCTACCCCTCTGCCTAACAGATATGTGGAAAAGTTAAGGGACTAGGAGGATTTTCAGTTAAGGGGAAAAATTAAGTGAAGAAAAGCAGATCAGATAATAGATCATTTCTCTCAAACAGAGGGATTGTTGGTACAAGGTATCTTCAAAACTGGTTTCCTTTTGAGCTGCTCAGTTCGTTAAACCTAGACCAAAATTGGTTTAATTTACATAAATAATTAATATATTTACAAATCCAGACTCCTCTTGAAAGTCTTTGTGAACAAGAATTTCAGTACTTTCTAATGGAGTCTTAGAACTGATGGTGTAAAGGGGAATGCATTGGAAGGTGATGTTGGGAAGTCCCACAAGAGAGAAGAGATCCCTGCCACCCAGAGAGTATTGTGGAATCACATTTAAATCTTAAGAAGAGCGGTAGGGAAAAGCAGGAGTGGTGCCAGATTGTATTTGGTTATTTTCTTAGTGAAAGATAAATACTAGTTTAATGGTTAGAAATGGTGTCCTTTTGAGCCTTTCTGCAGTAGTTTATGAGTACATGAGAGTGGTGGCAGTTCTGACT